GGGGCGAGGGGCTGGTGGGGGCCGGGGGGGCCGCCTGTGCCGCTTGCTCAAAAGTGCCGGAGCCGCTCAAGGTCAGCGGGACACGGGTGGGAGCGGGGACGAGGGGACATCACGGAGGCATCGCTGGCATGTGGCATCTCAGGGTATCGGGGGGGGTCCCCGGGGTACCCGGGACCTGGGGGGGGTCTCCGGTCCCCCGTGGCAGGCGAGGGGTTAACGGGGCAGAGGTGGGAGCCCCAAATCCGGCCCCGGTGGGAACAAAGAGCAGAGGGGGGGGCTCGGGGCCACCCCCCTCCCGGCACATACTCAGCTGTGACCGATGTCCCGGTAACCTTTATCCCCCGTTGCCAGAGCGACCGGACGAGCATCCTGGCACCACCGCAGCCCCGTGCCAGGAGCAGCCAGCGTGGCACAGCCCCCACGCTCGGACCCCCCCTTCCCCGGCACCCCACACCCCCCTCTCGTCCCCGGACCTGCAGCCGCCCGGTGTCCCCCGGGATGCCAGACCGAGTCCCAGGCCGGAGGATGGTCAGCGGTGCTGCCGGTGCTGCCGTCGCAGCGGCGAGGGGCTTCGGTGTGAAGCCGGTGGCAGCTTTAAGGGACCTGCACCGGCTCCAGCGCTGCTTTGGCATCTCTCACCCGGAGACCCTACAAAAACAACCCCACCGGCACCGACCTTGCCACGGTGCCAGCCACGGCGAGCCCGGACCAAACCAGCACCGCATCCCCTAAGGCCACCGGGAACCTCTGTGCCACCGGGACCACGGGGGACCCAGAGCCCCTCAAGGTGGCCACCGGCCTAGACTGGGATGGTGACGGGTGGCAAAGCCCCCGCCAAGGGGCTGGGGGGCACAACCTGTCCTGAGGTTGGCAGCTGCGGGGGGGGACCAGCGTGGCTTTGAGGGGATGGGCAGCACCAGAGCAGGGTGGAAACGCTCCCCAGGCAGGTCTCGGGGGACCGCAGGTTTAATCGGGGGCTTGTGCACAGCAAATTGCTGGGAGGCG